GTGCTATTTATTATATCTATTTCACTATTCAAGTCATAAAAGTTGAGAAAAACAAATCCTAAGATTCTCAGCCTGCATAGCTCATTAACTGCAGATGGCATTAGGTTAAGGAAGGCTCCCCCTGTTCTGATCCTGCTTACATTATCCTGTGTGTGTTCTATGCTACTAAGTGGGACAATTAATTCTGAGTGGCAAATTGCAGTGAAGATCCAGAGCACAAAGTAAAGTCATTAATGATATCAGTTGATACATAAATGGTGATTGCCATTGCTGGGCAGTCTAAATGTGTTTTTATGAGGATGTGTGCTATGCCAGCAACATACAGATTTTCCACTTACAGTACTGTAGTGATATAAAAAATACAGCTGTCTCCTAAAAGGATGACATTAGTGTCAACTTGAAAACGACAGGGTACATAACAAAAATCTATGTTGAATCAGATTTATTCAGGACAGCATTTTGTTTTCCACAATGACAGATGACACCATGAAGTGTTCAAGATGCAGGTGAAATGATCTCCTTCCATTAATGTTCCCATAAAGTTATCATCATTTACTTATTGTAGTTTTCTGATAAACATCCTGAATGTTAAATTAATAACTTGAGTTGGATTTGCCCAACACAGTAAGCTAAAATGTAATGGTTAATTTGTGTTTCAAAGGTTTTGCTGATGACTTGCACAACTGTTCTTAAAAAGTGACAAATGTTTTCCTAAATATATCTGTGGTTCAATTTTTTTTAAATAATCTGCCATCTTCTCTAAGATGATGATGCTTATAAAAAGGAAATTAGCTCAATGCATCAATGGAGCTTTGCAGTTTATGTGTTTGTAATTCTGTGAGCAAGGACTCTGAAGTTAAAATAGCAGTGGGTGACCAAGCATTTTCAAATAACTTTTGTTCTGACTGACAACATATATAGATGGAGGTGGCATTGTTCAGATGTAATTAAAGTAATTCCACATATTATACGCTGAAATCTATTCACGCATCCACACACATACAAATACACATAGTGAGAGACAATGTTCCTACATTACACTAAGCATTATTGTGCTTTACATTTTGTGAGAACAGCCATTATGGTTTCTGGTTTGTAAAATATGATTAATGTTTGTGTTGCATGAACTCTGATGTATTCAGTAAACATAGTTAAAGTAGTTGAGCATGATACATAAACTAATCAGAGGTTTTTTGAAAAACTTACCTAGTACCATTTGAAACAAGGCTATTCTGCTTTGCTGCTGAAGAGTTTCAGCATTACATATTTTGACCGAAATTGTTGCCTTTAAAAAAAACTGCTATTATTTTGGTTTTGCTTGTTGATGCTTGTTGATCTCATCACTTTATATTAGTATGGTGCTGTCACAGCAGAGTTATCTGCTGGGGTGGAGAAATCACAATGTCAGCCACAACTGTACAATCAGAGAGAGCCCTGTCTTGTTTAGTTATGTTGTATGTGGTACACAAAAAAGGGACAGGGATTTGATTGCACAGTTGCTGGGGCCATCTTGACTTTTTCATCTCTCTTCTAGATGTTCCTATGTTGGAAGATATCAAAACATGAAGAAAAAAAGAAGGAAGGAAGGGAAAAAGATTGCAGAAAAGTGAAAGAGGAAAAGGCTGAGTCTCCAGGAGTTGGTTTTGTCCTTTATATCTTTGTTAGAGGAGCAAGTTTTGATATACAATGCGTTTTTCTTCTTCTTGTGCTTCCTATGAAAATGTGTACATAGTACATATACCAGAGAGAATTCAACATTTTATACATTTGAAGGCATTCAGAGATTGGTAATTTGGAAAAAAGTTATAATGGCACAATATCAAGGCTTTAAATGCTACTGAATGGATATATACATAGACATGACATATATATGTGGGTATGTGACTGTGTATATGTATGTATATATACATATACACACGAGTCTGTATGTATATATATATGTATATACTGTATATAATCATATTTTATATATAAGAAATATAATATGAGCATGAAATAGTAAAAATGGATAGACAAATGGGAGACAGAAGGTCAAAATGTAAGCCCTATCTTCAAAAGTTTACAAGCAATAAAATACAATGAAGCCAATAAAAACTGCAGAATAAACAAAATGCTTTTGGGCAAAGCACACTTTAGAAAGTTTTGTGGGGGGAAAAAATTGGCCGTGGCAGATTATAATATCTTTGGGAAATCTGTTACACAACAGCCCACCCAATGAACAAATACATTCAATTCTGGAATGATCAGGATCCAAGTAAAGTAAAGCTTAAAAAAAGAGCAATTGTATGGCAAAAGCTCTTAAAGATAAGGAGAACTTTGGCCCCAGGTGCTGCACACGAAGCAGGTCTAAATTAATATTAAGAAAAGGAGGCTGGATGTGCCAAAGACTGGGGCAGGCACTAGATGCTATGTGTGTGACCCAGGCTGAAAGGGGAATGAGTTCCTCTAAAAGTGAAAAAAAACACCAGTAACCATGGGCTTCTCCCCATCTGGCAGCTTTGAGTCTTAGAGGCAGTTTAAATACAGCTTGTTTATATGACATAGAGGGTGGGAAGTCCAAGTACCATCAAGATCCTTTGGTGTTGTGAATGGACACCTGGAAATACACAGAGGCTTATTTCTTCCTCAGTCCTTGGAATTAATTCCCTTAATGTAATCAAAAGGTCATTTGCTTCCCATTTCTCTTTATACTTGTAAGCTCATAAAGCACAAAGTATAGACCCTATCTCCTACTATTTAGCAAGACTGAACATGCATCGATACATCAGTACAGATGAGCCCAGATAATCCAGGCTCACTTTTCTGATTTTTTTTTTTTTAAAAAAAGATTTCTCCCCAAACGTAGCCTGTCCAGATACCAGTGGGTGTTTATCACAGTTTGGACAGCTCTGTTGATTTGGGCTCCTTGGAGAGTGGCTGAATTAGCAACAGTGGAGAAGAAAGTATATTAACCACATTGCTACCGGAAGCAAATTTTAAATGTTAAAGTGAGGAAGACACACTGCTGTTTCTGGCTCTCGTTCTTATCAAACTGTAGCCTATGATAAAATTCTGAAAGGCTTTTCACCAAGATGGCTTGGAATTCAGTAAGTGGAACACTTACAAGACAAGGTCATATTAGTTCATTTTTGGAGAAGGAAATGTTAAGACACGCCTTCACTGATGGTGATGTCAGTCTTTTGAGTAGGCTGTGGGACCTACCATCACAGGACTACACATCCAGGCTCTTCTTAATAGGAGTTGAAATGGTGCCTATTCAGGAATTGGGGGGGTGGGGAGGGCGGAAATCAAACCTCCATTCTGATGTCTCTGCCTTTCTCAGGTGGAGAAGTATCAGGCACTACGGACCGGTTGTGTAGGAGACGTAAGACAAGACAGAAGCAATGGCTACAAAAAGGAAGCTCATGCCACCCTTCCTGACCCGTGGCTTTGCTAGAATGCCCACCATCGTTCCCAGTCTGCAAATGCTCCTTCCCAATGCAAACCATTCATCTTGGCTTGACTATTGGTATCATGGCTAGATGGCTGAAAAAACCAACTAGTTGACTGTGACTGGGTTGTAATAGTGACTGTTATAAAATAGGAGAAAACAGGGAGTCTGACTTGACAATTTATTCCAGAGAAACGTCTTCCCGTAACTCTTCTTTTGTTTTGCAGGATGCTGATGATGTATAATAAGGGAATGCCTTGCATCATTAGTATGCATTTTGCCTGGAGACCCTCTGTCTATGTCTCAGAGTGGGATCTTAATCCTTACCTATGAAGTCTTGGCTGAAAGTGATAAGGGACTATTTCTGCCCTTAAAGACTAAGGGGCAATATCATTTCCACACTGTACTAAACCAAGCTACCCTTATCGTTGCCCTCAAGGTCCCTTCTGTTCTTTCTTGCTAAAGCAAGCGCTAAGCTTCTGCCAGCCCAAGTAATGTTGGTGCGTTATTTTTGCCTGCAGGAATACCCTAGATGTTGCCATGTTACCATAGGAAATAAAGAGGGAAGCTCAAATCAAGAGACAGGCGCATTGCTTTCTTCTCTTATTGGTAGCTACAGACCCTGAAGCATGACTTCTTTGGAAAAATCTCTTTTGTACAATATGGAGAATTATGTGAAATGGTAGACTTGTCTCGGAACCTCACTACTTTAAGAGTGGTCACATCTTTCCTAATAACATGCACAGAAGGGGCCCAGGCAGCTCATCATGCGAATGTTGTAACCTTTGGAACAGCTTTGCTACCTGCCTTTCTCATGGAGGGCTGAGGTGATGGATGGAATAGGCAAGGGCTCAAAGAAGAGCAAGAGTCCAGGCCAGGTCAAATGAGAAGCTGCCCAGTTGGATGAGATGAGCAGATGATGGCACATCCTATGGAAGTGGCTCTCCCAGTTCAATCGCAGTCTTGCTCCGGGGAAGGCTATGACCACTGGCCTCCCACAGTGCACAGTCAGAAGGGGAAGGGAAGAGAACTGAAGCAGCACTTCCTTGGATAGATAAGTAGCCTCTACAAAGAGAATGCCACAGAAACAGTCTGGCTCTATCTGTTCCTGTAGATTCTTCTTGGCATTCGGGTTAAAAGAGAGAGGGGTGGGGCTTTGCACACAATGACCACTGCCACACAAGGCTTGCTGTGGTTAGGGAGCATGACAGATACAGAAGGAGAGACACATAGTTAAGACTTCAGTGTTTGTGGACCGGAGAAGGCTGTGCCCTCACCTCCATTGGATACTGCGGGGGGGGGGGGGGTGTTCTTCCAGCAGCACTTCTGTTATATTTAAAGTTCAAGGGCGTCATTGGAACGAGCAGAAACTGGAGTGGATCTGGCAGCTAAGCCTCACCTCTGTCCAGCTGGCTCCATGTGCGTATCGCTGCATTGGCCTGGGGCGGATGGATGAGGAGAGGCTGGATTCTGCTGCCTCCCCAGTTGTCTGAGATAGAGGCCCTGCAAAAGGTTGGCAGGTCCACGGGCTGGGCCGGGCCAAAGCTGCTCAGCATGGCCCCTTCCCTTTGGTAGTGTTAGTTGTACATCCAGTTGTCAGTTAACAGGTAAAATCCTCAAAGGTTCCTCGGGCTGGGTGGTGAGGTAGGATGTTGGCTGCGTATGTCATGCCTGCTGGATGGCCTCGGATATTCTCACATGGATTCTGGAAAGGTGGAGAGGAAAAGCAAAAAGGAACATAAAGAGAATGGACATGAAAGTAGCATGGTAAACAAGAACCATTGATAAAATGGGACCCTAGGTCTAGACTCCGTGGCATGGAGGGGGAGATGGTATAGGAACTGAAAAAAAACCAGCTAAACAGCTGTGCTGGCTCAGGAATTCTGGGAGTTGAAGTCCACGAGTCATAAAAGAGCCAAGGTTGCCTACCCCTGCCCTAGGCATTCCTCATCATCTGTCACAAGACTTTGAGAGATTGGTCTTGTTTCATTAAAGTAGCTCAAGAAGGTAAGATACTTTGCTGCAGATAGCTTCCTGTCTCTCTCTACCAGTGCTCCAACATGAACTAGGAATCATGTTACTGTTCCCTAATTGGATTTTTTTTGTACCACTTGGCACAGTTTGTTGGATGCTGCTGCTAGTCAGGAGGGCAGAATGACAGGGTTTTTATATCACATAGTTAGAAATCTGACATTGCGAAAAGACTTCAACTCTTGCAGTGCACATTATAGGAGAGGTTGTGGTAGTCCATTCTTAGAGGAGGCTGATGTAAATGGCCATGGAACCATATTAGTAGCCTGCCTCAAATTGTATAGATCAGTGGTGGCGAACCTATGGCACGGGTGCCAGAGGCGGCACTCAGAGCCCTCTCTGTGGGCACATGCGCCATCGCCCCAGTCCTAGGCCTTCAGCTGGGTTTTATAAAACCTTTTCGCTTTAGGCCTCCGCCGCCATGTGCAAAAAAAAAAAAAAGTTCAATCAATCAATTTCAACTTGCGGGGAAAAAAAAGATCTTGCAAAGTTGGAATTGATTAATTGAACTTTTTAGCCCCACCCAGTGTGCCATTACCACTGCAGCCACGCCCACCCAATGGGCCACGCCCACCCAATTGGCAACACCCAGCTAATGGGCCACGCCCACCCAGCACTCGACGATGCATAAGTGGGTTTTGGGTTGCAGTTTGGGCACTCAGTCTCTAAAAGGTTCGCCATCACTGGTATAGATAAAGGGAATAAAGGCTTTGGATACTCCCACAGCAGCAGCATCTTGTAGGACCCAGGAAATCTGCCTTGGTAGCTGCATTTACCCTGTAGAACCGCATTCCCCTTGAGGTCCACATGGCTCCAACCTCTTGAGCCTTTGTAAAGCTGTAACAATCTGGCTCTTCTGTCAGGGGTAGCAACACAGCTAGAATATAAACCCCTCAACTGTTTTATTTTTGGCATGTTATACTAGTTGTTAAAGACAGATTTGTCCTGCAAAAATAAATACATGCTAGATGTATGTTTGTTGTTAGCTTTCAAAGTGATTGGGTAAAAAGTTAAGGGGCTCAGTAGATAATGGTGGGGAGAAATCCTTAGCCATGATAAGCCACCACAAGGCAGCATGGACAGGTGTAGAAAAGCTGAATTGATAATTGAGCTTTTAAATGGCTTCTGGTTATTTACTGAATTTATTGTAAGGTTATTTATCCTGAAAGTTAGGGGCATAGCAAACGTAACCTAATATTTAATTAATATTGTAGATGTAAATAACTAGAATTGGATTCCCTGCTGTATGGGATTATGGGAAGTGTAATTCTGCCAGAGGGCAATAGTAATGGTCAGGATTCCTAAAACAGAAATCTCAACTGCTTTACTAAACTGTAGATTCTTTATTGGTTGAGAGAGCTTGGCGCAATTAAAACGATACAAACTCAGTGATCCTAGAGAGTGTAGCCAGGACATCCACTTGGCAGACGACAAGGGAATGTACTACGTTATGAGGTGTAGACACTTACATGGCGCTTCACATCATCCAGGCTCAGGGCAACACCCTTGTCACTGTTATTCCCTTTGTGTTTCTTCTCACACTTGTCACGGCGACAAAGGTGGAACTTAATAACCTAGAGATTGAACAAGAGGAAATGTTCATCATTGGGAACTAGTAATTGGGATTATTTAGAATTCTTATGTACATACAGTATGTCAGTGAATAAAATTCCATATGATTGAGCTGTAACACTAATTACCACATTGGAATGAGCTTTAGGTAGGTGACCCCTACATAGAAGTGAAATTCTGAAAATGGTGTATTTCAGTGAAGTATGATGAAGAATCACTTTCCTATTGACTCAGTTTATTGTTAAAACTTAAAACTTTTTTCTTATTGAAGAGAACTTAAAAGTTTGCTTCAGAACTGAATTACAGCATATGTTTACTGGATACCTTCTTATAAGCCATAAGTTGTGTTCCTTTCCCTCATGTTAAACAGTGACCAAAACTCACCTCATAGGCATAGTCAAAAAGCTCAAGCACAGTCAGTAAACTGGCCCCAATAAACAGCCCCATCTGTCCCCCAATGTCACCTGCATGGGAGAGACAGGAAGACATATGTCAGGTCTTTAGATGCATCCCAATCCCTAATCTTGGCATGCTCCTTAAGTAGAATAATTTCCCTCTCTGGGTAAACCCCAGTTATGCCAACCCACATTGAGGGGAAAGGGGGAACATGAAGATGTTGCATTACATTGACGTCAGCCCCGAAGGTCACCCCTGCCCTGGAAGTCTGGCATCTATAGAATCTGCTCCAACTAGCAGTCAGAAAAAAAGTGATCTCACCCAGCAGTCCAGCTACTTCATATGCTTTCTTCTGCTCAATAGTTTCATAGTTCAAAGCCTCAAAGAAAATGTCCAGAACCAGGATGTTCTCCCTGCATACGATGAAGGGAAGTGAAAGGGAGCCAAACTTTGAAACCTGCCCACCAAAGAATCCTGTAACTAGACCCTATGCCCAGGTTTGGAGTTTTGACTAATGACCAACTCAGAAATACAAGCATCCATTGCCGCAGAAGTGAGAACAGATACACACACTTGCATGTATAGACTTAAAGACACAAATGATGATTACAGCTTTTTGTGGAATCATCACAGGATATGTAGAAGAACAGGATTGACCCCAAAAAGAGATGGGAACCTTATCTAACTTTCTATCAATCATTTTCTCCCTCCCTCCCTCCCTCCCTCCCATATTAAAAACAATAAAACCATGAGAAATATTACTAATAACAATAAAATGAAATTATAAGCAAAGATGGCAACTCTGGTGGCTCACAACATTAAAAACAATAAAACCATGAGAAAATATTACTAATAACAATAAAAATACAATTATAATTAAAGATGGGGAGGGGGCAAGTTGTGCGGGGGGGGGAGATGGAATCTTCTATTGGTTCATCAACCACTCCAGTGTGATGCTCCCCCAATGGGGCACCAAGCCATCTGGCAGAGCCAGATCTTCATCTTTTGTGGAAGGCTGTCACCTTGCGGGACAAGATGTTCCAAAGGGTAGGAGCCACAGAAGAGAAGGCTCTTCTCCTGGACCCCACCAGCCAGAATTCCTTAACCAACGGGGTTTGCAGCATGCCCCCTCTGCCAGCATGGGTGAAGCGGGCCAGTCCCACTGGGGTGAGATAGTTCCTCAGATAATCTGGACCCATGACGTGCAGGCTTTAAAGGTGATCACCGACATCTTGAATTGCACCCGGAACCAGACTGGCAATCAGGGCACCTCATGGGTATAATATGGCTCACTCTAGGAGCCTTGAAGATTGCCACGCTGCCATACTCTGCACCAGTCGTAGTTCTGAATGCTCCTCAAGGGTAGCCCCATGTAAAGTGCATTGCAGTAGTCCAGATGTGTGATGACCAGAGCTTGAATGATTGAGCACAGGGATTCCTGATCTAGGGAGGGGAAAACTGGACATAATATGAGAACTCGAATGCCTGTTCATCAGCTGGGAAAGGAAGAAATGTTCTCCTGGAGTACTTCCACTGGCTAAGAAAATTGTTTTTAATAGGAAGAAACAGTGCCTTCTTCACTCCATGGCTGTCTTATCTGGTCTTTCCTCATTTGCCTCTCTCCAGCGCTGTCCCTCAGTTCTAAATCTCTGGGCTATCTCTACAATACTTACAGATTTGCCCTGATGGTGGATGCTGGTGTCTTAATTGTTTCTGTTTTGACCAGTTAGTGAGGACAGGAAGGGGAAGTGCAGAAAAACATGGTAATAGATGGGTTGGACAAAACTCAGCCAGAGGGAAAAAAAAACCTCACCCAATGTACTGTTCACTCTTGTTGTATTTCTTGGCCAAATACTTGGCTGAGGCCTTGCTAGGAATCTTCACCATGGACAGCTCTTTACCATAGCGTGTGACGTTGCAAGGCATCTCACATACACAATAATCATTGTCTCGCTCCACTAAGAAGTCTGGAGATCCCAAAGGAAGGGAGAAGTCACAATGGTTTCAAATAACAAAATACCAAAACAGTTCATAATATCTCATTTTAAGAGACTTGAGAGGTGATGTTTATTGGTCCTTACCAAGGGCGGGATCTGCACATTCTTTGTACTGCTCAGGGGTGCAGTAGGGAGCATCGCCTACAAAACAACACGAAGTGATGTTATGCTTTGATGTGAGCAGCTATTTAAGGCAGAGTTCATTCTTGCTGAATTTCCACGCTTAATATCTAAATAGGAACACCCCCCCCTCTCTCTCTCGTATTGTTCTCCACACTCTTGTTCCTTTTCTTCTCAGTGCAACAAATCTCTCCCCTCACCCTTCTCCATCCTGCTTTCCTTCTGTTGGAAGGAGGGAGGAAAGTTTTTACAAGCATGTCTGAAAGGTGCAAATGATTGAGGGAATCAAATAATTTTACAAACAGGGTGTCTTATTTTAGAGTCAAACAATTTACCGGTAAGTTATTTAGTTTAAATCTTCACTTGTTTTATATCTTGTCTTGTGTTAAGGAGCTCAAAGTGCTGAAGGTTATTTTATCTTGGTATTCTACTGGCATTCTATTCTATTCTATTTGGAGTGTGATGTATGGCAGGTTATATGTACATTCTTAAATATATGCACATCTGCATACAAGTTATGATATGGTATTAGGTGAGCGAAAAAGTGTATGTGTGTATAAACATAAACAGTATATTTCTATCATCGCCTTTTGGTAAGGAACCAAGTCAATTTTTCCCCTTTTGGGCTAAAAAGATAATACTTAGGTTTTAATGATTGTCCTTGTATTATATTATGCTGTTGGAGTTTTTCAATGTATGATTTGGTAAGTCTGGAATTATTGTTGATGTTGTGTAGCTGTATTTTTATTAGGTCAGCACCATAGTTTAAAGGGCCAGTACCACCCTTACAGAAATGGATTTTATGAGAGGTCTAACATGTATAATACATAAACAGTTGAATAAAAAGGAGGAGAACGTATATTTGGGGCCATCTTGATTTTGTTGCTGTATTTATTTCTAGAAATGCTGCCTCTCCATCTTTCTTTGTGGAGCATATTTAAAGCTGAAATATATTTACTAGTTGAAATTAACCCTGTCCTAGGAATTCACAGTAGGAAATGACAGAACTGCAACTCACTGGCACGCCATTTTTTTCATGTATCATTTTTTTTCAGCCCCAGCGATTAAACCTGGACCGTTCTGTGCAGAAAACAGGTCTTCTATTATTACTGGGCTACGAACCTTCCTTTAATGTGACAGTGAGCCTTACAGTGTCTTCTGTTGCTTTTATATCTGGAATATCCACGCAATGCAGAAATTATTTGCCAGATTCCCTTCTCTATGAACCTTCTATGTTCCAGATTCTGTATTATAGCTAGAAATAAGAGAAAACCCTTTACTGGTGGCTCTTGATTAACAAACACAATTGGGACCAGCAATTCTGTTGCTAAGTGATGTGGTGGTTAAGCAAGACATCACATGACGACATCTTACGATTTTACTGCTGACTTCTCAATTGACTTTGCTTGTTGGAAGCCAACTGTTAAGCATGCAGACGGTGATCACGTGAACGCAGAACTCTGCAACAGTTGTAAACAACTGTTAGTTGCAAAGTGCAGAAATCTCGATCACAGGACTGTAGAGACATTGTGACAGTCCTAAGTACAAAGGGCTGGTTGTAAAGCTACTTTTTCAACACCGTCGTAACTTTCAACAATCACTAAATAGTGAGATTATTAAGCGAGGTCTACCTGTAGTGACATTATTCCCGTTTCCTAAATTCTAGATACAGAAAAAAAAAACTAAGCAGAAGAAAATCTAATCTTAGTGCTTTTCATCCTCACACTTTGAAAAAGGAACACATTTTCCTTCTTAGGGGATGTATTCTAATACTAGGTGTCCTACTTAAAATAATCGAGGGAAAGCTTTAGAGCTGAGCTGCTCTGGTTATAGAAACTGGTCCTCAATTTTCCATAGAGAGCAAATGTTGTTTTAATACATTATGCAAACAGTGTATCCGATTAAAAATGGTACAGTTAATGAAGATATTGTCAGTGGCTGTTTTTTCTCTGCATCTCAAGGTAACCTTTTTAGACAAAACCTACACTCAATCTGAATACAGTGTTGCATTATACAAGCAAAACTGAATTCAAATCTCTGCATTGATCCATATCCTTACTTGTCTATCATCTATCCAAAATAATGATACCATATCAATTTCTAGTCAGGTTTGAAATGTAATCTGAAAAATACTCTCCTCTCATTTTCTCATTGTTTGTCTATGCTATTCTGCCTACTCCTCCCTATGAGATGCAGCTGAGTGAAATAATTAATTCACTTCCTTGTTATGATTATGCTAATTACATATTTGGAAGAGGTATTCTCATTAACAAGACAGACTCTGTACAGATCAAGGTGGAGTGGTTGAAAGAGCCCTGGGATCTGTTAAAGCATGCCTTAGAACTAGAGAATGGGAGTGGCTCAATTAGGGAAAGTCATAATTAGAGATGAAACATAATAAGAAGCACTTTTAAAGAATATTTTCAGCAACTGTAAAAAAGGCCTTACTTCCATTGCTTTGGGGCAATGTTGGTAATTTCTTCGAAAATAAATGAAAATATTCATGTGTTGAGAAAATAGCATTCTGAATATAGATTATTGCACAACCATACTTCTATGAAGTTAGAGCTATTTAGGTGTGTAGCACAGACTAGGTAGACTACACATTATCATATGAATTAGCATATTATTCTGTGAGGACATGGTGGAAATTGTGATGAAGTATGTGGAAATCAACAATTTGAAAAAAGCTAACCCGTGTAACGATATGATTTATTTCAGCTTTTTTTTAGGAATGTTCACATGACTTCAGCAATTTTTTTTCACTTGTAGGTGGTTCAATTTGAGCTTAATTATGTCATCATGCACCAAATTGGACTGTTTATTAGATGTTATGAAATCAAGTATACGATACTGATTTGCCAGCTTTTCTCATATGAAGAAGGTAATGCAGTAAAATGGCTTAGAAGCAGCAACAGAAGATTGTTTCATATTCTTTTGTACATTGGCCTTGGTTCCCAGTATAAGAGGAAAGGTGGTACATATATATATATATATATCTCATCACCATCATAATCATCTAAGGAATTGAAAACCTACAACAGTTAATTCCACAGCTGAATATATTATGCAGATTAACATGGCACATTCTTATATTGGTTCATTTAGTGCATGGGTATCAAACTCGATCACATCATATAATGTATCGTGATGTATCGCAACTTTTTTGCGGAGCTGGGGTAGGCGTGGCCTGCACGCAATGCATTCAGCCCACAGGCCGCCAGTTTGACACCCCCAATGCAATATTGTTTTTGATTGCAACAGTAATCCTACTGCTGCTACCTGAAAATTTTTAAACTGGAGGCCCAGTTGAGTGTTGGGTGGTGCTATGGCTAGAGGACACTGGGCTTGTCAGCTGGAAAGCCAACAGCCTGGGTTTGAGACCCAAGCATCATGCAACAGGGTGAGCCGCCATCTTCGCCCAACTCCTGCCCATCTAGTAGTTTGAAAGCATGCAAATGCGAGTAGATAAATAGGTATCACTTTGGCCGGGAAGAAACAGCGCTCTGCGACATCATGCTGGTCACATGACTGCAGAAACATCTTCGGACAGTCAGTGGCCTTGAAATGGGGATGAGCATTGCCCTTTATAGTCAGCAACGGCTAGCAGAGTAAAATCTGCAGAGGCTCCTTTTTTTCCAACTGAGGAACTGGGACCTTCTGCACCAGGGGTGTCAAACTGCCGGCCCACGGGCTGGATGCGTCATGCCGAAACTGCGCCCACCCCATTGCCAGCAATGGAAAAGAAGTCACGAAACGTTGAGACACGTCACATGACGTTGCGAGTTTGACACCCCTGTTCTACACTATAAATCTTGTGCTTTATGACTCAATCTGATTTTCGTTTCCTGCTTGCTTATTAAACTGAAATGGTTGACAGGGCTGTCATTCTGGACTGTGGTGTTTGCTGGATATTTGAGAGTTAGCAATAGCTTGCTCCACTTTGGTCTGCAAGAGGAGCTGTCCAGCACTATCAGCAGTCAACTGACTTGGTTAAGAATTGGACTGAAGCTGGGCAGAGGATTACTAGCCTATGCAGAGTTTCAGCACAGCATCTGCTTGACCCCTCTTTTACTGATGTACTGGTATCTCCAATATGACTACACTTAACTGTCAATATTCATTTCCTATCCCCCATCCCCACCTCATGCTTCAAACTGAATCTTAACTTCAAGAGGCTCGACCTTATTTCATTACTATTTTGAATTCAGAACAGTGATTCTGGAGAATGCAAAACTGGGAGATGAGTCCAACTGAGGAATATTATTACATTTATTACAGCCATGTAATTGTTCTCTACATGCCTGATTCATTCTAGAGACCACCCTAAAAAAGATATCTAATCCAGCTTTAGCCTTGGGCTCTGCAGGTATTAACACAGGCAATCAATTGTTATACAAGTAAATGTGACATGCTAGCCCACCATTTAATAATAATAATAATAAAGTTGGAAGGGACCTTGGAGGTCATCGAGTCCAACCCCCTGCTCAGGCAGGAAACCCTATCAAAATAGTGTTTACATGATGGAGTGTGCTCCATACATCAGCAGAGAAATCCTCATCTTGTAAAGGGCTCAATAATTCCTTTTAAGAAGATGATTTTTCTGTATTTTTACAACTGCTATGGACTCTGGTCCTTAGCTTCCCTTCAGATCAGTCCTTCTTACCAGGCATATGCACCATACGACAGTTGCAGTTCTCTACCAAGTAGCGGGTTTCACAATCTATGCGACAAGCAGTGATGCTATAGGTGTCATAGAATTCAGACTCCACTGTCACTGACTTGCATTCACCCCAAGGTGGAGGAAGGTAGATAAGCTGAACAACAGAGGACAGAATGAGAAGGTCAATATCTCCTTAATCTTTCCTAAGACAAAAAGAAGAGCTCTATTTGGCCTGTAATGATGACATCATATATATAGACTCAGTAGAGTTTACAAATGAAATAAGGCAGCAATAAACACATAAAATAATACTACCACTAGCATATCCCTGCGTAGACAAGGATACAACTCTAAAAGTCTCTGCGCCTTACTCAGTAGCATTAGCCCAGGGGTAGGCAACCTTGGCTCTTTTATGACTCGTGGACTTCAACTCCCAGAATTCCTGAGCTGGCTCAGGAATTCTGGGAGTTGAAGTCCACGAGTCATAAAAGAGCCAAGGTTGCCTACCTTTGCTTAGCCATTTGAACTCAGCCTGGATTCCTTGATCAGATTCCAGGGATGTTTCAATCTAAGCCAGGAGGTCCTCAACCTTGGCAACTTTGCTGGCTGAGGAATTCTGGGAGTTGAAGTCCACAGGTCTTCAAGTTGCCAAGGTTGAGGACCCCTGTTTTAAGCCATTCTTTTCAAAGGAGAACGGAAGAAAAAGCATTGCAGGACACTTCTGTTTCTCTCCCCCCACCCCGCATCAGTTTACATTCACCCATTATCCTGCTTTTCTTCCAGAAACTCAAGGCAGCATACATAATACCACTTTCAATTTTTTATTCATGATAAAATATGAATAAAACATGTTTTATTCAATAAATGTATCTTGTGAGGTAGGTTGTGCTGAGAAATCATTCAGTGAGTCTTCCATGGCTGAGGATGGATATGAACCCAGGTGCTCCTGCTCCTAGCCCAGTGCCTTAAATCATAAAACCATTCCTGCGCTTTAGTATGGATACAAGAAGACTTTTTAAATAGAGCAAATATGTCTTCAACTGACCCGCTGCTCTTGGCAGGACACAAACGTCTGGAAGCCAGGTGCCACTCCAAATCCCAGCTGGTCAATGAAGGGCGGCTCATCCTGGCTGTGGATCTGTACTTTAATCCCAGCTTCAAAGGATGTCTCATCTGTGGCACGGAGAAACAGAAAGCACGGCAAGAGCAAGTGAGATGGGCTCTTTCTTTCATTCTGACACCCTCCAATCCCAAGGAACGTCAAGAGATGTGTCCATTCATCAAGGAGAAGCATGATGCTGACGTTACAGGGCTATCGTCCTCTCAACACACACTTGCCATAGTTTCCCCCTTGTGTTAGGGATTAACAACCTTTCTGGGCCAGTGAGTGCCTTTGGGGAGCCTCTTTTGGGTTTTGTCACAAAATGGCTGCCAGGATAGATGAAATCAATTGCAGACATTTATTTACCAGCAAATGGATGAGCTTGCAGCCTGAATTTTGCTCTAGACCAGGGGTAGGCAATCTTGGCTCTTTTATGACTCGTGGACTTCAACTCCCAGAATTCCTGAGCCATAAAAGAGCCAAGGTTGCCTACCGCTGCTCTAGACTTACCCTTTGTTTTGTTTTTTTTCTGAGCAGTGAAACATTGAGTTACAATCCCCCTCCTGTTTTCATTGTCTAAGGAAGCCCAGAGGGCCTTCTAATGAATAAAGATGATCTAGAAATGGAGCGTTCCCTTTGCAGCACGCCAGCTTGCCATGTATTTCTTTAAGGTAAACGATGTGATAAAACATTAAAGCCGAGCAGAAAGGGGAGGCTGGTAAATACCAAAAGAGATGTTTCTGGCAGCATGCTGTTCCCTGTCCCATTCCTCGATCTATTATGCAGCAGTTTCAGGACTGTGATTGACCAGAATCAAAATACCCAAAGACTCACAGAAGCCAGTCTTCCTCCCCACTGATGCAAAGGTCGAGATTCAATCCAGGCACACATCCAGGGATACTAATAGCATTTTTGTTAAAACCAGGCAGAACCCGTACATCTCTCCCTCTCTCTCTCTCTCCCTAGAAATTGAAAGCCAGCTAGGAATGCAGACATGCTTTCCAGGTAACCTCTTGATGACCTTTGATTAGGGACTCTGGCTTCACCCCCTCCTGCAGTTTGGAAAACACATTTCTCCCTTAACAGAACAAAATGCTATTTCTGGATAAGAAGCTGCTACCTGTTTGGCATTGCTAAGCTGGTTGCTATGGTGAGCAGGACAGGAGCGAAGAGCGGGAGGCTGAGTAAGGCAACAAGTGTGGAAAGGCAAGAGGAGGGTGCCATGAGGTTGTGCAAGTCTAGGACAGTGGTTCTTAACCTTTTTGAATGAATCGCCCCCTTGAGCCAATGAGGAAGTTGTCATCGCCCCCCTCTCAATCACAACATAGGAAATAATTCTTCAATTTATGCAAACACTTCTTTTGTTTTCTTTGAAATTGTCATCTGGACATATCGATGCAAATAATTTATTTCCAGTCTTTTTCCCATATCTCAACTCTGTGAAAAATTTTGGTGCCACCCGTCACTTTATTCCCAAACTTTCCTTTTGAAAGACATCTTACTTCACTGTACGGAAAAGTCTCAAAGGTGTCCCCAAAAGTCTCAAAGGTGTCCCCTTCTCGCTCCATCGCCCCCATATCGCCCCCTTTTTGTTCCTTCGCCCCCACGTCGCCCCTTTTTGTTCCATCGCCCCCCTCAAAAATGAAATCGCCCCCTGGGGGGCGATATCGCCCAGGTTAAGAACCACTGGTCTAGGAGATGATTGAATGGAGGGAGACTTGGGAGGAGGGGAGGGGGGAGGCTTGGCCAACTGAGGCTGTCTAGGGATGGGTAGTGCAGAGCAAGCCATGAGTTATTCTGTTGAGGAGAAATGAGAAACTGATGCAGGGATAGGAAAGGAGGGAGCGCTTTTACCTGTCTCTCCCCAGACTGGAAGGTATTCATCCTGTTGAATGTCCAGCATGATCTCCAAGCCATTGCCGGTGCCCCCCTTCATGGTGACCAGGGGTGGCTTGTCAGACTGGCCAGAATTGAAGGTGTAGCACTTTCCGTAGCGGGTAAAAACCTGTGGAGGAGAAAAAGTAGGGTTAGGATAGGAGCCTGACACTTCCTCTGGAGGCCAGCGGGCTCTCCTAGCCTTGATAACCAAGAGTAAGCCAGAAGAGAAGAGCATAACCTGCAGCATTGTCACATTGTGTCTTTCAACGAGTGTAATAAGCGCACTCTTTGGGCCCGGTGGACACATCTGGAACTTGGGAACATATTGTGGCACTCTTGCAAAATGGCTGCTGGGGGAAGAGGCTTGCCCAGTTCGAGAATGGTTGCCACAAGCATTGATTTGCTAGAACAGGTGGGGGACCGTGGCCCTTTTATGACTCGTGGACTTCAGCCAGCATGTCTGTCTCAGGAATTCTGGGAGTTGAAGTCCACAAGTCATAAAAGGGCCATGGTTCCCCACCCCTGTGCTAGAATGATATCAGTCTTCAACCCCTTCAGACACATTAGAAAGCTTTTGGGGCCCATTCTGGACATGCTCACAGTGATCATATGTTCTTTATTATAAAGGACAGTCTTTGCTTTCCTGAAAGCTATGCTTTAAATTTATTTATTTTTCAAAAACTCATTTTTGTCCATTAAAACGTCAAAAACTCATTTTTGTCCCTTTAACTTTTACCACGCAAATGGTTCCACTTAATGCACAGTCTTTCACATTCAGATAAAAAAAATATGGAAATTGAATTGTCTTTTTAAAACCAGTAGGTATATTCTGTTTGATTTTAGCTATATTTATTATAATATGCATTTTTATGAAGTTTTTCTTTGTTTTGCACTTGAATTTTCCTTTGTAAGGCAAAGTTAGAAATATAAACAATTTAATTTTTTTTTATCCTTACAAAACTCCTTCAGATTTGTCTCCTTTTCAAGTTTGCCTTTATTTTTTCCAAGAAAACATGGTCTCTGTAGGCATACTTGGAAATAAAAATGATGTTGGGCCCCATCCCTTTCCTTTGCAATATATTGCTGCCAGCTTCCCTTTAAAAACATTATTCTTTTTAAAATGCCAATGAGCAAAGGAAGAGAGGTCTGAGGGCACAGTGGCAATCTGGATATCACTCTAGGGCAGTGGTGGCGAACCTATGGCACGCGTGCCAGAGGCGGCACTCAGAGCTCTCTCTGTGGGCACGCGCGCCATGCCCCGGAGATGGCAACCGTCCTCTTCAACCAGCCGCCTGATAACTCACTGAGGTCCCACGTGGCCGGATGCATCCCAGCACCCATGCGCTCGCTGGCCTCTGTGTGCGGGGGCCGATGGCAGCAGCCACCCCAGCCTCTGCCTCACCTTGCCTGTGACAATGGCACCCCCGCCCTGCCTCACCTTGCCTCGCCTCACCCCACTGGACGAGCCTCCTGCCCACCGCCTCACCAGTCAGAGACCCCCAGGATCTCCCCCAACCTTGCCCAGCCCCCACAGGCGTCCCTCCCCAGGAGCAACATTGAGCTTGCCACGCCCACCCTGGCCACGCCCATCCATCTGCCATGACCACCGTAGCCACACCCACCCAGCAGTCCACGCCCACCCGGGGGTCCACGCCCACCCAGCACCCGGCGGTACATAAGTGGGTTTTGGGTTGCAGTTTGGGCACTCGGTCTCTGAAAGGTTCGCCATCACTGCTCTAGGGACTCGCCTTCCTCCCTTTCCCCTACTTTGGAGCCAGTCAGTTCAACTGTGAATAGTGACCAGTGGAAAACAGTTAAGAATTAAAGACACAGGTTACTGAAAAATCATATCCTTTTGCTTGTTAGGCATAGGGAATGTGCTGGATTGGAAGTCAAAAAGTGCCATGCATAGAAGGAGCAGACAGGATTAATTTACGACTCAGGTAGCTAACTATCTCTGATGAATTCTCTTAAGAAAATGTAGCCCTAGTGGTGGTCTTACATCCTTCAGTATGAACAACAATAACAACAGCAAATCACAGTGAAAGTGAACAAATGCAAGCTCTGCTGAGTGTATTCACTGGTTGCAACCTCCATTAAAGGACAGACTCTGCCCCGCTGGCATTTACACTCATCTGCTGCTGGGTAATTCATCTTTTACAGGTGGCCAAATAAAAGTCCCTGCCAAGCCATTCATATAACAAATAGCCTAAGAAATAACATTTGGTAACTTACTCTTGTTTCTGCCTTGTCGGCATATTTGAGCCAAGTTCTTGAAAGAATAAAATTCAGAGACAGACTGGGACGGACCATTCTGGATAAAGCCACGAAGGAAATATGTAAGGTCTCTTTTCTGTCCTCCCAAACAGGCACAGTCTGTCTATTTATCTGTATATATGTGTCATAATTTGGCTTTTCCTTCTGCCGAGTTCTATAGAGTACTTATATCACGTTGCCATAGAAAGCCTGCTTGGTGTAATGCTTAAGGCACCAGGCTGGAAGCCAAGGGACTGGGAGTTCTAGTTCTTCCTTAGGCGCAAAGCCAGCTGGGTGACCTTGGGCCAATCACTTTCTCTCAGCCTTAGTATGGAGGCAATAGCAAACCACTCTGAAATCTTTGCCAAGAAAATTTCAGGGACTTGTCAGGCAGACTCTTAAGAATCAGACACGATTGAACAGAAGGAAAAAAGTCTAATTGAAAAAATAAAGGAAGAGGGGACTTTCCCCTCACATTTAGTATGTGCAGTCCTTGTCTTCAAATTGGTAATGTCTTGGTAACTATATGTCATAGAGAAATAATTCAACTAACTGAACCCTCTTTTTTGTATTTTTCAGGTTTTTGCCCTGTAGAATTAGCTAATACTTTAAATATACTGAGTTTTAGCTGTACTATGTATTCGACTGCACTTGATTTTAGAATTCCACAATTCCAGCACTTTCCTCGTCTCTGGCATTAACCATTAATGTTCATATCCTTGTTTTTGAGTTGAGGATAGAAAGCAAGTATTAATAGTTACTAAGATTCCTGCAAAGACATAAAGATTCAGGTAATTTATACTCATAGAAGAAAATATTTGTAGCCCAGGGTTGAATTGTGGGGTCTCTGGTGCCCTCTGAGCTTAGTTGTTTTCTTGCAAACGTTTCATTACCAAATTAGATAACACCACCAGTGCTACACTGATGATGTTACCTAGTTTTGTAATAAAACGTGTGCAAGAAAACAACCAAGATCAGGAAGCCCAAGGACCCCATAATTTATACTCATTCTTCTCCTTTTATTAATGAACATTTAGAGAGCCGAAATTTTGTTAGTAGGATCTTTCTCTACACAAATGCTAATGCTTGGTTTTCAAGTAAACAAAATCTAGTATCTTCCGATCCCCTCAAAAACCCCATGCCCTGCACAGGTCAGCTGGCATTGACAAAATACATATTACATTTGTATACCCAGTGTACATTGGTGCTTCTTAGTTAATCCCAAATTAGCATGTATCATTCAAAGCAGGAAATATTTAAATTAATCATTTAATTATTAATAATTATTGAATTAACTGCTAGCTAGCAACTGCTGCATTTAGAAAGCATTTTTGCTATTATTTTTTTGTTATGCTTTTAGGATAACCAGTATGGGAAAAAAAAAGATTTTCCTTCTTAAGGAGGTTCAATTGAAATTTTGTGTAAAGGCGAATGCAGTGAAAAAGAAGATATCCCAGCCAGACAGCGTCTCAAGGAGACGTTTGCCTTGACTCTTGAGTACGTCATGTGACATACCGTACTTAAAATTGCAGCGTCAGTGATAATGAAAAAGCAGTTTACAGTATTTCAAAAGGGTTTGTTGCTTTTCCTTCAGCTATTATATTTGCTGAAAAATGGAAAGTGGGGAAAAAGATATTACGGTTCCGTGTATCTTTTGAGGAGGGGTCGTATGGTATATTATATTTTAACTTGAGGAATGGCTTTGGCTTGTCCTTAGCCTATTGCTATAAAAGGTTGTGGTTTGGGAGTAGGTAGACAGTATGATCTCAGAAGCTCCTTGGGCAGGAAGGATCTGTATGTCAGGGGTAGGCAACCTTGGCTCTTTTATGACTCGTGGACTTCAACTCCCAGAATTCCTGAGCCAGCCATGCTGAGGGGAAAGGGAGAGGTTTCCATGCTTAGCCATGCTGGCTCAGGAATTCTGGGAGTTGAAGTCCACAAGTCATAAAAGAGCCAAGGTTGCCTACCCCTGACCTAGGAAAGAGCAGGCTGAGAAATGCTGGAGTCGGTGGGTGACTGTCAGAGCCATCCGTTGTGAGGTCTGAGATGAGCTGTGGTTTGGGGAAAGCTTTTTCCTCGCCTTTCTCCTCTTTGAGCTTCTCACTGTCATTTTGTTTGCTTAGATTGCTGAGTCACCTGCTCAGATCACTGCTTTGGTTAGCATTATGTTTTCCTTTCTCTTTATTCGAGGCTTTGCTTTCATTCTCTTTATTCACTGAAGCTGTCGATTCACCCAATTTAGTCTCTCCAAGATTTGTTTTATTCATCTGAGGAAGTTCTTTTCAGTTTTTCCTCTCTGGGAGAGCCAATAGCCTCCTGGTATACAGGTCTGAGAGTAGGGCCAGAGTCAACAGCTTGCAGTGTACCAGAGGTGAGCTCCATAGGAATTCATTCTCTGTTTCCTGAGGAGAGGAAGCTTGAGAAAGAATGAAGGAACACGGCAGTGGCATCTGGAGACTAAGCTTGAAGACTAACGATATGAAAATGTTCTTGGAAATTGTGAAGGGCATAGGGCAGGGGTAGGCAACCTTGGCTCTTTTATGACTCGTGGACTTCAACTCCCAGAATTCCTGAGCCAGCATGGCTCAACTTGGAAACCTCTCCCTTTCCCCTCAGCATGGCTGGCTCAGGAATTGTGGGAGTTGAAGTCCACGAGTCATAAAAGAGCCAAGGTTGCCTACCCCTGGCATAGGGTATTTGTTTTCCCGCCTGACATTTGCATGAACTACAACTAGGACAAATTCAAATAACTCCGTTGGGGAAAAAATAGGAAGATTCAGGGCAGCCTATATAGACGATAAGGAGGATGAAAGATTTTTAGATGTCAGGCAGGACAGGAGAACATCAAAGCTAATGCCATTTTCTATGCTG